AGAACAGGCAGATCGACAAAGTACACTGCTGAGGGGAGCAGCGGGCGGGGACAGGAGAGGTCTGCCACAGCATGAAGTCACCTCTGGGGCAGGCAGGAATCGAACTCATGCAGAAGCGGCTTTAGATTCTCAGTGCTGTGCTTTAACCTGCTGTGCCACCAGGGAGGGCCAAATAAATAAATATTTAAAAAAAAACAGAACAGGCAGATCAACGAAGTACACTGCTGAGGGGAGCAGCGGGCGGGTCAGGAGAGGTTTGCCGCGCCATGTGGTCACCACCGGGGCAGGGGGGAAAAGAACTCATGCAGAAGCGGCTTTAGGTTCTCAGTGCTGTGCTTTAACCCGCTGCGCCACCAGGGAGGGCCACAATAAGCTAATTCTTTGTTATGGTTCATTTCCCAATATTTACTTCTGCCCTGGTTTGCTATGCTACATTGGTCTTTTTTTCCCCTTCACTCCATTTCTCTAATTCTGGAAAGCCTGTTTACTATTCAGAGATGTCACAATTGCAATGTCTTCTTGGAAAACACTACACATTATCCCTTCTAGTTCCATCCATTTTGGTGCAATAGCAAATTTTTATCTTTTTTTTTAATAGTTGACTAGATTTACATTGTGTGTGTATGCCACATCTTAATCCACTCAGGTTTCCTTGTGCAATCAGACTGTTTCCATAACTTACCCATTGTAAATAATGCAACAATGAATACACGAGTGTATATATCTCTTCCAATTAATTCTTTTTTAAAAAAGATTTTATTTATTGATGCAGACAGAACTGGGGTACAGGCCAGAGGCTCAGGGGCGGTGAGAGGATTCACCAGAGACAGAGTGGGGAGCAGAAAAGGCTTACTGACGAAGAACACCGCTGAGGGGAGCAGCAAGCGGGTCAGGAGAGGTCTGCTGTGTCATGTGGGTCACCTCTGGGGCTGGGGATTGAACTCATGCTGGAGTGGCTTTAGCTTTTTAGTGCTGTGCTTTAACCTACTGCTCCACCAGGATGGGCCCTGATCATGTTGTTTTTCTCTTTCATTTTGCTGACGCATTGTTCTTCAATGATTGATTTTCAGGTTTTGGAGCAACCTTGTGTCCCTGGTATGAAATCCACTTTAATGCATTTTTGGATTCTGTTTGCTAAGATTTTATTGAGAATATGTGCAACTGAATTCACTAGAGAATGTGGTCTGTATGTTTTTGTGTTGCTTTCTTTAGTTTTGTTATTAGAATAATGTTGGCCTCATAAAATGTGTCTTTTAATATGTTGGAAGAGAATGAGCATGACAGCTAATAGCACATCTTTGCAGGTTTGGTAAAATTCACTCATGAAGCCATCTGGTTCTGGACCTGATTTTGGGGAGAAATTTGATTATTGTTCAAATTTCCATGCTTGTAATTGGTTAGTTCAAGCTTTTGAATTACTTATTCAGCCTTTGGCGAATGTATAATACTAAGAATTTGTCCAAATCATCTAGATTGTTGAACTTGTTTACATATAAATGTCCATAGTTATGTCTAATTATAGATGTATATCTTCTACATTTCTGCTGTTGTAATTTCTGCTTTCACTTTTAAACCTTTTTATTTGATTTCTTGCTTATTATTTTAGTGAAACTTGCTAGACATTTGTTTTTAATTTTTCCCCAAAGAGCCAGCTTTTGGTTTTCTTGATCTTTTGGACTATTTTATTTCTAGTTTCTTTATTTCTGCATTGATCTGTGTGATTTCTGTTTCTCTTCTAATTTTTGTGTTTGTTTTTTTTTCTGATTCCTGGAGATGAGTGAGGTTGTTTCATCTTTCTGCTGTTTTTAAACAGTTAATTAATTAATTAATTTTAAAATGAGGGGCTTCCCTGGTGTCACAAGGTGTTAAAGCACAGCACTATGAAGCTGTGTAATAATCATGAAAAATGCAAGAGTTTGATTCCCAGACAGAGAGGACACCTTCATGATGCAGCAGACCACTCCTGTCTCACCCCTCAGCAGTGTATTTCAGTAGATCTGCCTGTTCCATTCTCCACTCTGTCTCTGGTGAATCCTCTCAATCCCATCACCTCTGGTCTGTACTTCAGTTCTTGTATGTATAAATAAATAAGTCTTTAAAATGAATAAATAGATAAATAAAATAATATGGTAGTATCCCCATCATTCATTATCACAATAGTGCATTACCCACCACTACTACAATGGTGTACTCCACCACATAGATCATTATGCTTTCTTCTTTCTTTGTTCTTTCCTTTCCCTCACCCCCGTCCTTCTTGTGGCTTCAGTACTGTAATCAGCCATCAAAGTTAGATTTTCAGCTGTATTTATCTGAGAATTTAGTTACTTTATATTTCAAGTACCATCTGATAATTATCTTTGCCCATCTGACATATTTCTCTTAGCATTATCCTTTAAAGCTTCATCCATGTTGCTGCAAATGGCGCAAGTTTATCTTTGATCACTGTGTATTCCATTGTGTATATATACCATAATTTTTTTATCTACTCATCAGTTCTGGGACACTTAGGTTATCTCCAAACTTTAGATATATATAAATAGTACTTTTATAATCATGGAAGTATAATGGCAACACTAGTTGTTGCGACATGAAAGTGCAATACTAATTCCTAATTAGTGTATTTTAATTTTTGGATAGTTACCTACTGGGTTAAATTTTAGGCCCATTTTTAATGTTTTCAGACACCTCCATAGTCCTTTCCATAAACTGGTCTATAAACTGTGGGACCAGTTTGCATTTCCACCAGCATTGTAGGAGGGTTTATCCACATCCTTGCCAGCACTTGTTAATTCTGGTATTTTCAATATGGTTCATTCACACAGCTGTGAGACTATGCCACTGTGGTCTTGATGTACACTTCTCTAGTAATAAGTGATTGTGAACATCTTTTCATGTGTCTGCTCGCCAT